GAACTATTAAAGTGGTGAAACACAGCGTGGTTGAAGAACTCCCTACGACAGTGGTCGCTTTAGAATCGCCGCGAAGGGGGGAGGTTAGGTGCATGGGTTGCTACATGGTCCGAACCTGATCTTATCCTATAAGAAGGGTGATTCTCCTACCTTGGGGCGAAAGTGCAGGGGAGTGAGAGGGGGAACGATTTTGTCGTTTCTATCGTTCTCACCGGGTGTACTGAATGTGTTCCTATCGTCAAAGCAAGTCGTACGTTAGATGTCCTCAACGAGAGGTGACGAAATGGATCGCTGAAGGTGCGGGAGAGGGAGATGTGTGGTGCGTAGTATTTGCCCTTGAGAAAAGGTTTCCGGTTGCCTACATTTCCTGGTTTTTCTGTTTTCTCTAGTTTTTACGTCAATGGTGCTGAATACCACCCCTTTCCCTCCGTTTTCTCCTTCCTCTCTCTCGCTGGTCGACGATAGTTTTTGGGATAAAAGAAGAGAATATTCAGAAGAAAATGCGGAAAAAAGATAAGATCGGGAAATTACCAGAAAGGATGGGGTATGGGGAAGGGGAGGGCGTCGTACTAGAAGAAGAAACCTCGAGGTGAGGTCGTATTTTGCAAAAATTTTTCTAAACGGCGGAACTTGCCCTGCCTACCGTACACCTCCCAGCGTGTTTCTACTGTAGAACAGTAAATGGACGAGGAGCCCACCAAAGTGGTTAAAAGAATGGTTACCCTTCCTTACGAAAAGCGTTCAAGTAGAGATCTGAGTTGCTTCCTGTCAGTTCTTTATTACTGCAAAAGACCGAACTTGACGCGCAGGCACTCAAACTCGCCCACAAAACCGTATTCATCAAAGAAACTACTCAGAAGCAACTTGACCAGGACGAATTCAAATTCTACGGTGCAACGAACAGATTCTGAGAAATGCTGTCAGATTATCAATGATTCATACAAAGTGATGACACGTGATTGATCCGTCGTGACAGGGCTTTGTTAAGCTTATCCAACTGTCAATTTTACTTATCAGTATGATAGCTTTCGAACTTCTTAGAATTATCAACCCGTGGAAAGTGACCGGAAAACGTCACCACAGTGGTTTCAGAATCCCCTGTAAGTAAAGAATCTAGCGGCTTACAGATACATCTCGCGTTTTTTGTGGGCGGAGTCACCGAACAAGTGCCCCTCATTCTCATTGATGGGTCCCTCTTTCGAAGGTAACGAGGAGGGTAGGAATCCAGGGATGGACAAAAAAGCGCGAAGATTCAAGTGGTTCACCCATACCATAGGCCCGGAATTCCTTTCATCTGGCCTCATAAGTACCAAAACCTGGAAGTATACAAACACAATCTGTGAAAGGTCACGATTCAGGAACGACAACTCATAGGCGCTTTCGCAGTTTTCTGGTCTGTGGGTGGGAGGAGCGGAACAATTGGGTCGTGCATTTGCCTATACATTTTCTGAAACATTGAACAAGGAGTGCGTTCAACCATGTTCAACCTTGGTTCTAATACCTTGTTTTGCACACATGGGTGAAAGACACTTTTTCCCTCGACTTTCAAGGAGCTATAAGTTACACTCTATTGATTCTGATTGGACATTTCCACCACCATATTCAACAGCACATTGTACACTGTCATGATACTCCGCCTCTCCTCCTCAGGCTTCTAGACGAGCGCCATCGAGAGATTCTGCCACGCGGCCGTGATTCGGTACCTGAGTTCAGCGAGGTCGTTGATTTCTCCGCCACTGTAGACCACCCTTGAGCTCCGCCTAAACCCGGCAAAAGGGGGGGGGGTCATTTCAGGTGACACATTGCGTCTCCTCCGTACTCAACGCCCTTTGATTCCGAGTAAGCGAGGTTTTTGCAACGCCTATTCCACGTGC